TACCAAGTAGGTAGACAAAGTTTGTTAACAAAATAGGTGTTGGCAAGATCCAAACCGTTGTTTTATTTTGATTTCAAAATCTGATTTTGAAATGAGTGATATGGATTTTGCCAACTCAAGTTTGTCAACCTTCTTTGTACACATAGCATCGCTCCTTGGAGAAAGCAAATTAAAAGGACATACTGAAGGTACATATTTCAACATGGTTCTGGCAATTTTTGTAGGTCGGACTCAACACGGTAACGAACATGATTATAGAATTATAACAATATTGAAGTCATATCCATCTTGCAGAATGAGTCGTCCAATATTATATATACCAAACATGCCCTTCGTGATTAATTTTTTGAATTAGGACCATTTTGTTGTTGGAACTGTTGATACAAAGCAGCCATCCTGGTATAAGCATCAATAGTCATTGGCTGCAATTTCAGATCAACCACAACTTCTTTAACTCGATACAATGAAAAATGATTACGAGAGAGAAATGTGTGACAAACTTTATTATATATAATTTACCTGTGATTGGCATGCTAGGAATGCCGATAAGGGGTCTGTTGGCATTACCGAAGTTGGTGGCAAACAATCACCGGGATTATCCCACGATGGCACAGGCATGAAGGCTGCCACAGGAGGAGAAAGAACCGGAGGCATTCCGGCACGGCCAGTTGTGTTGATGTCCATGAATCCCATTCCCATAGGAGCCATTCCCATTCCGGCCATTCCCATGGGAGACATCATAGGCATTTGAAGCTGTTGTTGCATTGCCAAAGGCAACATCATAGATGACATGTTCATTCTACTCATTCTACTCATCATCTGAACTTGAGCTTGAAGTTGTTTCAGGTATTCTATCACTTCATCGAGCATCGAGGCTTTATCCGCCTAGACAATATTTAGTACTATGAGATGTTTGTACAATATTCATCGATTCCTATTCAATAAAATATACTAAATGTGCTTGACTCGATCCATTTATGACGATGTCATTGAAACAATTTATCCATCCAAGGGGTCACCAAGCATAAATTGTTTCCCCACCTTGACCAAATTTATGTGGTAACACATATGATTGTCTTTATAACCAACAACTCTCTGTCTTGTTGTCTTGTCTGTATATCAAAATTTATATGGACTGGGATCTTTATTAAAATTACCATGTGAATTCATCAAACTGTATAGGGCCACTTTTCAGAACATTGTGTGCTGCAGCAGCAGTCTATACTTTGAATAATTGAAGCCTACAATTTAATTTATTAAAATTAACCTTTGTTTGATTTGGATTAAAAACAGTTTTTTTAGTAAATTTTAATAAAAGTCGATAAAAATTGCGGACTCCATAAAATATGTAGTTAAAAATGAGTTTGAGAAAAAATAATATTTAAGAAATGGAGGCAAACAGGGACTTAAATTGGTAGGTCATAATATCATTATGTTGCAGTTAAATGAGGGAATATCATAAAGTGCAAATTGCTTAATTAATACTTATGAAGTAAAATATTCATACCTTGCTTGAATTGGGGACCAACTTCTGCAAAGTCTTCATCCTTTGATTAATTTTGTCTCTTCTTTTCTGAGACATCAATAAATTTATTAATGACATGTATGATTTAGATTTTTTAAGGATAAATTTTGTGAAAATGAGTTTTTTTTATTTTAAATACGTGGTTAATAAAAAGGAAAAATTATAAGAATCCGAAATTTAAAAGAATTTTAAAGAATCCATACAAACCGGAGCTAAATATCTGTTACCTATGAACACCATAAAAATTCATCATAAATATTAAAATATGTAGATTAAGAAAGCTGAAACTGTAATATGTGGCGAAATTCTACCATAAAATAAGCAAGTAGATATCTTGATATTTTAAATTGTTATCTCAGAAATCATTATCAGTCCCCTCAAAAAAGCAGAAAAGAATATTTTTGTTTCCTTTATACAGTTTATCAATCTTATTAGTAATAGAATTACATTAGCATATATGCACACAGAATAACGTAAGAAGATTCGTTCCCAAGAATGTTACCGCATTAGATATAACGTTTATTAATCAAAGAGAATTATGAAAAATTCCTACACGTTCAGACTGGTTGTGAGTTGCAGCTGCGCGGCTTCTTTTGGTAGAAACCGAGGATTTTCCGTGTCCTTTCTTCTTCCCCTCCTCATCACCGGCCACAGTCTATAAATTAACAGATAAATCATCAAAACTGGAAAAATTACACACTTTAAATGTATACAATCTAACAATCAAGCACCTGGTAAATGATAAACCTACATATGACAAAAGGGTACAAATTTGTTTTATTGAAGAAATTAAAGCACATGGATAACGGACAAGAACAGATAAGCTTACCCTTGTTATGCTGTGACAAACCGAGTCATGGTCCTCTGCGGTTTTGGAACAATCTTTGGCGGAGCTGGTGTTTTCCGGCGAACCCAACGAAGCTGTGGAGGTGAACCTTGCATCAAGTCCTTTTTGGCAACTGTCAAGTGTGACTTGACGACTCTCTCTCCCACACGTGGCGCTCCCACTCATGCTTTGCTCAGGTCTCGGCCATTTGTGTGAATTATTCATTCCCACACGTGCTATCCTCGAGCCCCTTAAGCCGGTGCCGCTGCAAGATCCCACACCGGTGGAGCATCCGACCACGCACGTGCCAATTCCCGGCACGGATTCCATCACTCGTGTAGCTGAAGTTTCTTGATTGTCATTTCTGCTGATAGTATTAGTGCATGGCACTAGGAAATCGGGGACTGAAGCACCGACGGCGTGATTGGCCAGAGAGTGGTGGTTGTCAATCCATTTCACCAGCTCAGGACCACTGATTCCACCTCCATCCACGGTTGACTTACTGTCCGGGAGGCGTGTGACTTGGTTGACTATTGACTCCAGGGTTCCACCGGCCCGTGGCTTATCCCAAGTGTACTTTGTGGGCGAGGAATTGGTAGTAGCTTTATTAGGCACCCTCGGAGGGCCTAAACCATGCATGGCTAGCTGCCCATTTTCCCACGTTAACTCTGCTACTTCATAGTCCAACCTGCAGTGTAATAAGAACATAAAGAACACAATTCAACTTTGCCATATGTATAATCTCTGGGGGGTGGGGGCGGGAGGGAGAGAGAGAGAGAGAGATTACGAAGGAACTTGAGGGGTCAAGGAATTGAAGTTTGAAGGAGCAGGAAGAGTGAGACTAGGAGTGGTGGGATTCTGATATTCAAGCTCCGAGCTTGGTACACACTGATTCATCTTCAAAGATACACAAGTTTACACAGTTTAGACTTCCATATTTTCTGGGAGAAAATAGTTAAGGTTGTAATGAAAATGAAGAAACAGGAGAAAATCATTTTCTTTGTGTACAATATATATTTGGATGTGGACCATTGAAAATTAAAGGACAAATTGTGATTCGTAGAGATAAGAACAAACTTAAATTGAGAGAGATACAATGCATGAATGTACAAATGTGGTCTCCATGAATAGAAAGGTAGTATATCTAATTGAGGGAGAGAAATTTTGGGTATCTTTTGAAAGAGATTTTGTGGGCGGATCTACTTTAAATACATTATGGAGGTGTTTGATAAGCATTTTTATGTAAAAATGCATTTTAGAATAGTAAATTGATGTAAAATGTATGGTTGAAAAATAAAGAAAAGTTTTTGATTTACGTGTAATATTATTTTAATAAAGAATGTATAGTTGAAAAGAAGAGAAAGAAAAATACATTTTAAAGAAAATGGTTACCAAACGGGCTCTATATATAGTAATTTCAATTTTCAATCATTAGAATTAGATACCGTTACCGAATGTGTACGGGTGTTACGTGTATAGTATCATCAAATTTAAATTAAGTCTTTGTTTTAGTTCTATTTTTGTTAGAAAAATGTATTTTGAAATAATAATTTTTTGGAGAATTTGTAGTTAAATATTAGAAAATATTTCGATTCGCTTGTTAAATTATTTTATAAGAGGATGTATGGTTAGAAATAATTTTGAAAAAATAAAAAGGAATTCTTGAGAAAATGGGACCCAGACAAAGGCTAAGATTACTTTTGATTTCACTCATTTCATTGTGGAACCGAGCTTAAATGAATACTCAAGTTACTTAGGCTCTGTCTAAGTCCCAATTTAGGAAGATATATTTTATATTAGTGATTTATTTGAAAAATGTATAATTAAATGGTAAAAAGAAGTTTTTGATTACATGCACAATTATTTTATTAGGAAAATGTGTGATTGAAAATGAATTTTAAAAAAAAAATTAAAAGAATGAGGTTCAAACAAGGACTTAGTCTAATAAATAGTGCAAAGCAATATGTTCGATCATCGCTCAGACTGAAATGTAGTTATCAAATTCAACTACGACGTCAAGTTAATGACCATTATGGTTTTAAAAAAAAATCTTATTCAGTGGCTTTATTTTCAGGCAATGACTTATCGTGTTAGTAATGAACTTATTATTCAAAGTATTACATACTAAGTGTTTTTTTGGTAGAGATTTTGATAATTGATTTTTTGACCGCTAAAGATAAAGTGTGTCCTACATGTGAGAGAAAAATTAAAAAATGACGCATGAAATAGTGAAATAATAGTCAAAAAATTGATTTTAATTGACTTAAAATCTATACCAAACAATCACTAAGTAAGCACCACTACCTAGTCTTCGAATATAACAATAATCATAAATCGAACAGAATTATAGTTGAGTAATATATAGAGGGAAGCGTTCCTCCTACACATGAATTTGACAAGTATTTTTGACAAATAATCGTATTTAATTGAAGCAGATCCAACGATTAGTAACTCATAGATCTCAAGTGGTTATAACTAACTCTCTCATAATCCTAGTAAAATCAATTAAAGGTCACGATTATTTGTAAAAAATACTTGTCAAATCCATATGTAGGAGGAACGTTCCCCCATATATAGATATCCTAATTCTCGACTGAATTCTAATAACCACTTTACACTGAATTCGGCATCTTTGGCGCACGGTATAAACTATAAACAGAGCGAAATAGGGAATTGCATGATTGAAGAGTTTGTAAGCATATGTAAGTAAGAGAGTCAGATTACTACAACTGTCCAGTCAATTACGCTTGGGGAACCCAAACTTTGGACTGCAAAAATAAGATTGCCATTTGCCAAATTGCTCAAAACGAATTTAATTTTGTATGATTGATCGACGATTAACATTAAGACTTTACGAAAGTGAGCCACAGACTTGCAGACTGTGAAAGTTGATACAAGCAGATGGCTCAAAGTTGCATTTTTGGAAGCACTACTTATAAAAGACACTTTCCTCTTTGAAGAATTAAATCACCGAATAGAACGACGCATCAATCTTTGTGGCATGTAATTTATATTTGTTTGATACGGACGCTTTTTAGGTTGTGGTATAGGGGCATTTTATATTTTTCCTAATATCTTGTAGAATCTCGGGTTAATATGTACAAGAATGATATATTGAGCATCGGTACTTATTTTATGTTAAACACCAGCGACGTATCATATAAATTTATTAGCGGATACATTTATGATGAGCATCAACATTTGAATTAAGTTTGAAATTCACCAATAGATTTATATGACATGTTATCGATACTTAACATAAGATGAGTAGGTGCTCATTGAATTATGGATAAATATATATATGTACCGAATTTGGGTTACCGAATTGGTTACCTACTCTCACATGCACTTGGGCCCCGTGTGCATTTAAAAATTCTGGCGTGTGGGACCCGTCCTCTTTTTGTGAATGTAGGTAAAAAATTCGATAAAAAAAAAGTGGATTTACATCTAGCATGGTAATTGAATTATATACAGTGAATGCAGCATGTATGCTCAAGAGGTTTCATATATATCTTTGTGATATCCTTAAACTTTAAAAGAAGTGAGTTTGATCATTGCCTTTCTTATAAATCTGAAAATAAAGAACATATGTACCTGCTTTTGTATGTGAATCATACATTGCTAATTGATCCAAATAATTAACTAATTAAGCAAATAAAGTCAGATTTATTTTCAGAATTTCATAAGGAAAAGATAAAGCTATTAGGAATGGAAATGATTATGGACATAATTAAATCATTGATGTTAACATTGACTCAAACTACTCATACAATTAAAGTGCTTACTCGGTTTGCTATGATGAATGTAAAATCAGTATAGCCCCATTTGGTATTTATTTTTTTCAAAATGCATTTTTCTCTCTCTTCTTTTCAACCACACATTCTTTATTAAAATAATATTAAACGTAAATCAAAAAAATTTCCTTATTTTTCAACCACACATTTTCCATCTATTTACTATTCAAAAATACATTTTTACATAATAATATCTTCCAAACACCCTCAAGTAAATATGAGAGTCCCAAATCTGAAGAGGAATATGATTATATGAGTAATACTAATGTTTTGAGGTCTATTATATCCCCTGTTTGGTACTCATTTTTGGAGCCAAAAATGCATTTTTTTCGTCACATCAGCACACAATTTTTGACTTCTACACTCTAATGGGGGACCCGCGATATGATGTTTAAAATACATTTTCATCTAAAAAATGTACACCAAACGGACTATAGTAGTAAGCCCAAGTTTGGTAGGGATTAAAATTTGGACTTTAATTTAAATCAAAGTTTACAATTAATTTTAACTACATATTTCATAAAAATCACAACTTTTTAACCATATATTTCATCAACATTTATCAAAATCTATTAAAAAAATCTGATTAAGGCTGCACAAAAGGGAAGAAAGTTAAATAAAGACGTTATAATCTACAAATATTTAGTAAATTAAAAAAAAAAGGCAAATTAAATAAACTTTTCTTGATGTTTATGACAATCACATAGACTCTATTATTTTTTCAAAAACTTCAGAAATCTCCATTCTTAACATAAATTTCTCGTTTTGTCATTCTCTTTTAAGTAATTCTTGTATATTGTTTTTTCTTGATTTTGATTTACCACAAAAAAAAACATATTGCTTTAATTTTAAAAAGTTTTATTTTGTCTATGGAATCATTTATTCTTAATCAATATCGATTTGTCATTTAAAAATGAAATGATGACCTAAAGAGAATCTAATCTTTAAAACTTTAATGCCAATGTCTTTTAGATTTTTAATTAATAGCACTGAAATTTTCTGAACTTAGCATACAATAAATATAAAGAGATAAAAAAAATTTTAAAAATAGAGAAAATACTACCAAATCAAGTAATGTAAAATATTAATAAATTTCACTAGCTTTTTAAAATTATTCTTAAATGTTCGTTATTTGAAAAATAAAATTATATTAAAATAATTGTATGAAATTTATAACAATATTTTATAGTGGTATTTTTTTTTTCTAAAATGATTTCATCTAAATAAAAAGTAATATATATATATATATATATATATATATATCGTGGTTAAGCATGAATAATTATATTCCTACCATATTTTTATTTTTTCGCGTTAAATATCCTCAATGTTTGTTAATCGTCGCACTTTTGTTGGCTTGCTTTGAAATGAATGACAAATATGTCTATCGAACTTTTGTATTTTTTTTATAAATATAAAGGGTAAATAAATCTTTTTATGCTCTCCTGACGAATTTTTTGGATGAAAATCGTCATTATTGAGAGATGTGATAACTAATGAAGATTGACGACAAGAATACAACCAAAAAAATGGTTTTAGAACGTAAGTGTCGATATGCTGGGGTGTTGTAATATAGTGATGTTAATGCAACCGAATTATCACATGCCGTATGTGTAATTTAAACACCAATTTTAAGCATACCGTATATGGCACTTACCGTATTTGCAAGTAGCTTATCGTATTTGCAGCTTACCGTATTTGCATTATACCGTATTTGCAGCTTATAGTATTTGCAGCATACCGTATTTGCAGGCAACTTACCATATTTGCACCTTACTGTATTTGCAGCTTACCATATATGTTGTCTATTGTATTTGCAGAAAACTCACAGTATATGGTAGCAAAGTTCACCGTATTTGCACAGAATTTGCATAAAGTGTTTTTATTCATACACTAACTGAAATAACACAAATTTTTGCATTTACAAGTAGAAATACTGTATATCGATATATGTGAAATCTATTTTCACACATATAACGAATTAGGAAAAAATAATTTATTTTATTTATATATTTCTAACATAAATTTAACAAATAACATATGAGTCAAGTATGTTGCAAACATGTAAATCGCTAAATAAATAAATCTGCAAAGATAAAATGCAAAACTAGATAAAGAGCAGATAAATTTTCAACCCGAGACCTGCGCGAGCACAGTTTCTTTAAAACAGATTCGTCCCCTTACTGTAAGTGCTTGAGATTTAATCTGAGTGTCTGTTTTCCAGGATACAATGGCAAAACCCGTATAATCTGAGCACCACAGAAACTACTTCAGCGAATTAATACAGTGTCTGAACAATATCACAACGATCTTACTGGACAGATATGTGTATGCAAGAAATCAAGATCTTACTGGACAAAGAC